GGAACAGCCTCCAGGGGGCGGGGGCTGCCCCAGTGAGCCCAACCTGCTGTCAGTCCTGGGAAGACTGCCTGGAGGAGGTGCCGCCTAGAGAGCAGGAGTGCAGCTCTGTGGGGGCCGGGAGGGCGGCCCGCCGCCCGGCAGGCAGGCTCGGGCAGCCAGGTCTACGCCCCCTATGGCCCACTCCCTCCCCTTTCAGGCTGCTGGGTTTGAAAAAGCAGCAGAAGGGAGAGAGGCTCAGAGGCCAGTGGTCTCAGCTCCTGCCCACCCTCTCTGCTCTCCCTCACACCTGCGACCCCCGTGGGCTCTCCTGTGGAGAGGGGACTTGTCACACGGCCTGACCAGGCTGCAGTGGCCCCGGGGCCGGGACAGAAGGGCTTGAGGTCGGGCGCAGCCTGTCTGGGGCTTCGTTCCCTGTGGGGAAGCAGCACAAGGCCGGGCCCTCCTGCCTGCGGCCCCGGGGCTTGGGCTCAGCCTGCTGCCAGGTGAGCCATGAAATGAAAAGTGCCCAAAGGCACGGTGCGGGCTGGTGGGGTGACGCCCGGGCACAGAGGCGCCAGGTGAGCTGCCGCGGTTCCGGAGAGCTGTGCCATGGCGGGGGCGGGGGGGCAGCCTTGCGAGGCCCGCGTGCAGGGCGAGACGGCTCCCCTGCCATCAAGCTCTGAACGCGACTCCCAGAGCCAGAAGGTTCCAGCATCACCCACATCCCGAGAAGAGCTGCCTGAGAATCCCTTCCAGGACACCGTCCTGGTAAGATTGTTGTCCTGTTCCAGGAAGTGCCTGGCAGCCAGGTCTCCTTATAGTGGGCCATCACAGGCGGCCTGGAGGCGCCCCATAGAAAAGGGACCCGCGATCTTGGTGGGGAAGTAACCGGCGTGGGCACAGGGGAGTCCAGTTCCCCCAGGGGCGATGGGCCCCGAGGCAGCGTGGCCAGGGGCCTGCACAGGCTCTCACGCTTGGGAGAAGAGCTGTGTCTGCCTCCCCAGCGTCTGTCCCACACTGGGTCTGAGTGGCTGTCCCAGCAGCCGAGGACACTAGGTTCCTTTTCCCACTGACAAACAGAAGATCCCTCTTGCTCTTTTCTAGTGAAGGGCCCCTCAGTTTTGCCGGCAGAGGGACCGTGCTCCACACCCCTGTCCTGGGGCACGGGCTCGACTGCGGCCTGGGCTGTCACCAGCAGGGGACCTCTGGGCTTAGGCTCCACCTGTGCGGCGGAGGGGGCAGAAACAAGTTACCCCATGGAGCCACGCAGATATGCCACCAGTAAGTCCCAAGAAACACGGAAACAAAGTCCCCACGTTCCCCAGTCAGCTCACAAAGCCCAGGCCCCTACCAGGTCCCATGGCGGGAAAGGCAGGGGGCAGGTACGTCCCTGTGCCCACCACCAGCTCACCCTCGCAGCCACGAAGGCGGCTGTGGATGAGGCCAGCCCCGCGGCCCAAGGCGCGGGTGCAGCTGGAGCGCCCAGCACACCAGGAGGCGCGCCTCAGCCCCGCGGACGCCCCACACCCAGGCACTGCCAGATGGCACATTGGGGGCCCAGGTCCCAGGGGACCTGCCCTTTCCCTGGGTGCCCGAGGGCCTGGGCCTCCCGACTCCCCTGCTGCCAAGAGTCCCCGTGAGCAGCCTGGGAGATCCGGAGCCAGCGCTGGGGTCGGGGGAGGAAGGAGAGGCCCCTCTCTACGCTGCGCACACCTGAGGCCCGCTCTAGCCAACACCCACGAGGCCCCACGCCGGCCGAGCGCCCTCACCCTGTGCTTCCCCTCTCTGCGGAAGGCACACTCCAGCCAGAAAGCCGTGTGGACAGTGAAAGAACACGCCCTCCACGCCCCCAAGTGAGGAAGCAAGTCTAAATGGCGGGGGAGCGGGCCCATCCCTGATCTCGACCTGAGGCTCCCCCGGCTTGGAGCCCGGGCCAGAGCCCAGGCCCTCAGCAGCCATCACCCAGGACCCCAGAACCCCAGTGTGGGCAAGATCCAGGGCCAAGACCCTCTGGGCCAGGAATGGGGCCCAGGAAGCCCAAAGCCAGGCCCAGCCCGGGCCACACCCTGAAGTGAGGGTGCGGGAGCGGCTGGGCCTCCTCTCTCTGACCCAGAGGAGCCCCAAGGAGGGAGCAGGCCGCCCTCAGGAAGAACAGAGCGTCAGGCCAGTGACCCTCAGTGACCGCAGCCTCCTCCTGCAGGGGCAGCTCCAGCTGGAGGCTGAGGGTCCTGGCACCCTGCCCACAGGGCACTGGGGGCAGGGGAGGGGCTTGGCTTTTGTGTCTAGGAGTCACGAGGACTCGGGTCTCGCGTGCGGAAGCGCCGCCCCTGCTGTCCCGCAAGGGCAGTCTGCAGAGCGGAGCCGGCCCGGAAAGCGACCCCGGTCAGAAGGGCCCCTGCCCTCAGCCCTGCAGGCTGGAACGCACAATCCCCGACTGGGTGGGGGGTTCACCTAGCTCTCCAGTGGACAGACGAAGGAAAAGAAACATTTTAAAGACAGCTAAAGCTTGGCGAGTACTCGCCAGGTGCTATGCATGGTGCCAGGTGCCGGCTGGCCGTGCCGCCTCGTGAAATCCCCGTGGGGAGGCCCTGGCATCTCCCCACATGAGGGGCTTGGAGAAAGACGCTCGGCCCCAGAACTCGCGGCTGCTGCGGGCACTGGCGGGCAGGCGGCCTGGAGAACGCAGGAGGTGGGCTTTCAGTGTTGCTGAATTACCCAGAATTCTGTACCCTCCCCTCCTGCCTCAGGACAACCCTCCTCCCCAGCTGCATAACGGGCTCAGAGAGATGTTTGGAGGAAGGGCCAGAAGAAATCCGATAAATGAATCTCTGCCACTCGAAGTGGTTTGAAAATGCTTCCGTGGTGGAGGCGGGATCAATCCTATGGCAGCTGGGATTTGAGGGGCAGGTGCCAAACCCAAGGTCACTAAGACACAGTGGTCCTTATGCCTCAGGGACAGGCCCGTGGGGATGCGCGTGAGGACCAGGGCCACACGGGGAGCGGAGCTGACCACCGCGCAAGTGGCATGGACGGCTCCCGGGGCCCCACAAGAGCTGCCCTGGGCGGGGTGGGGGCCAGGTCTGCTCGGAACCTCCCACCCTCGCTCCAGCCTTGCCCACCCTCAGCCCGCCAAGCAGAGAAAGCTCCCCGGCCACAGCCCAAAACTCCCTCATCACAACTCGGCCAAGAACACAGAGAAAAGGGAACCTATTATTCTCATTCTGAAGAGCCGGGGAATGGCTTTTTGCTTTTCAACATGAAATGCGCCTAAAAATAAGCTGTGGATTTCAACCAGAGGCTGGAAATAGCTCCAGCAGGGAACAGAGCTCTGCTCAGAGGGGGCTCAAGGGCGGCCTCCTCCCGGGACGGAGAGCTCCACGCCACAATCAGGGCTGCATCCTGGGCAGGGTCTGAGGGCAGAGGGGCTGTCGTGGGCTCATGGGGCCGCCCTGCCCTGCTCCGCCCCCAACTTTTAGCTGCCACACTCTAGCAAGCACATGGTCAGGAATTCAGGCCCAGCAGTGGCCAGACGGGCTTCCCACAGGCCCCAAGCGCCCAGGCATGACGCACGGGGCTCTGGGGCCGGGGCCCGGGGCCCAGGGTGTGCGCAGAGCTCGCGGGCACGGTGGCGCTCACAGGCTCCCGGGGAGGCTGAGCCCCGGCCCACAACCAGACCCTTCGCTGGGTGCGAGCCCAGTGCCTGGCAGGCCCACAGGGGACAGGGCAAGCATACTCTCCAATGTAAGCAACCAAAACCAAGTTTTAAAGGCCTTTTTCTGTTATTTAGCATCACTTCTGGAAGATGCCGAAGTCTGAGAAGCCAAACATTTCTGCAAAAAGAGCCTGTGTCACACACCCAGGCTTGGGAAGGGGGCGCTCTCCCTGGAACCGCACGGGCAGGGTTCCGACTGCAGAGCCCACGTGCTACCCCGATCTGGGGCTGCCCTCTGGGCAGAGCTGTAGCCTGAAGGCTGCACGGGAACAAACGGCCGTCCCAAGCCCAGCCGAGCGTCTGCCCGCCACGCCCTCCTGCCTTGTCCTGCTGGACGCCCCACCCACAGGCCTCTGCCTAGATTACCGGGCCCCACAGCCCTGGGAAGCAAGGCTGTCCCACCCTCATCTCTGAGCCAGGGCTGAAGGGACAAGAGGCAGCTTGTCCAAGTAGCTCCCCTAATAACTCCAAGAAAAGGGGTGTGGGGTCCCGCGATGCAGGTGGTCACCCACCTTCCTGAAATTTCGCAGCACCCTCCCCTGGGAGGGGGAAGGGTGGGGACCTGGGGGGAGGGGTCCCCCTGCAGGAGCCAAAGGCTGGATGGACTTGGGCTTCCTGGTTCCATTCCGGGCCAGCCTTGCCTCGCGGGAGCCCTGGGCAAGCCGCTTCCTGTTGTTTGGGCCGTTTACGGGTGTGGGAGAGGCCAGGCTGCCTCCGGGGCCGGGAGGGAGAGCCACGGAGCCTGCGGCCCCCGCAGCCCAAAGCCTGCGGACTCCGTGGCCTTGGCTCCAACGTTGGGTTCAGCCAAAGATGAATGCAACCTTGCTCAGTGCAACCTTATCAGTTATCCACTTACCCCCAAAACATTTGTCAAATGTCATTGTCATCTGTTTTGATTCAGGAACACTGAATGCCCTTTTACCAAACAAAGGTACTAAAAATGGTTTGTGGCCGAGGAACTTCCTTTCCGCGGTTTAAAAGACGAGGAAGTGAGGGTGACAGGGCGGGGCCATGCGCCCCGAACAGCTGTGGCTTCAGCACTGCACCCTCTAGGAACCTGGGGCCAGGCCTTCACCCACAGGGCCGGGCAGCCAGCACCTGTCTCCTCTCGCATCTGGCCTGTTTGCTGCAGACTTGAAACAAAGCAGCACCACAAGGACCAGAGTGTCAATTGCCGGATGATAAGCTCTTCCTAGGGTCCCTTCCCCGTGGCCAGCCTAAGCTTCCAACCCTACCGCCCGAGCCCAGTGCTGTTCACTGGCACCCACGCGCCAGCCCAGGGCTCAGACAGCCCAGCCAGGCCACTTACCAGGTGCCTGGAGGAGCTGGCCGGCGTGGCTGGGGGCCTCTGCACTCTTGTGGCGTCTCCGTAATCCGCGACATCGAAGTTACTCTTCCAGACCATCACCTGCAAGACCAACAGGCACGCCAGATGAGAGGGAAGCCCCTCCAGTTCTTCATGGAGAAACCAGGCCGGGGACAGGAGAGCAGCCCCCCCGCCGACACCCCGGCGCAGCTCTGGGGCCTGCCCCACGTCCCCAGAGAGCAGGCTTTTCATTTGGAAGGCCCAGAGTGGGCCTGGAAGTGCCACTGCCAGGCCCTGGCACTTGGGGGTCCCTCTGCCTGGGCTGTCCCCGGGCCGAAGTGTCCACCTCGACACCCCCTTCCCAGAGGGGCCTTCCCGGCCTACGAGTCCTCACCACACCCCTGCACGTCCTTCAGAGCACTGGGGTCACTCATTGCTACTCCTGCCCCTTTCTGTTCATTCATCACGTCTCCCCACTAAAATGAGAGCTCCTGAGGGGGGCGGCCTGGCCCATTGCACCGTGACAAGTGGCTGATGTATGGACTCCAGCCCAGACCACTGGCGTGAAGACCTGGCCCCGACCCTCAGAGCTGGGAAGCCCAGCATCGAGGGGAAGGCCATCCTGGGCGACCCAGCGGGCTGGGACCCTCAACACCGCGAGGCCTCCTAGACACCAGACCTGGGGCCAGGGCCAAGGCCCAGGCGCCCACCAGGAGACAGGTCATCAGTGCTCAGCGGCCTGGGCAGGCAGCACCGGAGGCACCAGGGCCTCCGCACACAGGGCGACAAAGTAGGACACATGCCCTCATGTGTGTGCTCTTGCAGCCATGGCACTGGAACACGCCACCCCTTGAACAGCACACAGGCAGGCTGGGAGCAGAGGGCGGCCGCTTCCAGCCCTGGCGACCGCTAGGACTGGGTTTCCGCTCCCACGGGGGCCGTGACAGGCGGCCTGCCCCCAGGGCTGTCGTGCAGGCTGTGGCACAAAGCTCCGGCCGCGCTGCCCACGCTGCCAGGCCTGCCCAGTAGTTGCCTGAGTGTGCATCTGGGATCAGGAGGAAGGGGCTATTGATATTGAGGTCTGCAGCCCAGGCCCCTCCCGCCCTGTGCCGCTGTGAGCAGGGAGGGTTTCATGCTGCAGATGCGGGGCAGCGCCCGCAGGAGGCCTGCCCGGGGAGGCGGGGGCCCCAGGCTTCAGCGCCCCACCTAGCTCCAGCCTGCATGGGCACTGAAAGCCCCCAAGAATGCCAGGGAACCCCAGCCCATCCCCAGGATGCCTCAGCCTCCTGCTCTGTCCCGAGCAGCGCCAGCAGAGATCCCTCAGACCACCCTTCGCTCACTTGTTCGTCCGAGCCTCCAGAGGCGAAGTACTCTCCCGTTCTCGAGAAGGCAACGGTGGTGGCGGGACCCTGTCAAGACAAACAGGGCACAATAAACACCCAAGGTCACTTCAGGCCCTGAAACGCACAGGGGGAGGAGACCTAGAGCTGGGTGAGCGCAGCCACAGGACAAAGGGCGAGGCTCTCCTCCGGCCCATGGTCTTCCCTGGCCCACGCCGAGGAGCCTGCGGGCGCCCAGGTGTGCGCGCCGGCCCCGAGACCCGTGACAGGCCCCCGAGCACCAGCGACAGGACCGAGGCCAGGCTGGGGACAGAGGGGAGTGCGCAGCCCTGCCGGGCCAGCACCGCCACCCCACCTACCAGGGAGAGGCCGGCAGGGCGGCGTACCCCAGGCCTGGCGTCAGGCGGGGGCTTGCCCCAGGACCAGGTCCTGCCCCGCCCACACCACCCCGCAGCTCACCAGACGCGTGCAGAACCCCAAGGACAAGCCGAGCAGCAGCCGGGAGCCCAGACGACCCCAGAGACCAGAACCAGGGCTGGGGGAAGCTGGGGCTGGAGTCAGCAAAGGAGCAACAGGAAAACCCCTCCCAAGGAGAGGACGTGCCGGCTCTGGCCTCCCAGGTGCTGAGGGTCCCAGGACAGTCCGAAGGGCGATGCCAGGCCTGTGCAGTGCCCGGGAGGGGACATCGCCTCTCAGTGAAGAGAGAGGGAGGTGCTCAGGGAGCCATGCATTCGGCCCACCACCACGAACCGTCCCCACTCTGCCGAACCCTCTAGGGGAGTGCCAGGCAGGAGGGAGGCCGTGCTGCCGTGCTCCCGCCCTCCTGGACTCCACCCACAGACCCCTCTCCAGGGCGCCCTGGGCGGGGCACTGACGAGAAGCCAAGCACCAGGCCAGCTGACCCCGAGCGCCCAGCCTGGCTCGGAGCCCTTCGCCCACACTGACTCCCGGCCCCCAGGACGGTGTGTGTGCTCGCCCTCCCTCTGGGCGGCCCGTCCGAGAGGGCAGGGATGCCGCCCCCAGCCTGCGCCTCTCCCCGGGGCCAGGGGTCGCGCGGCCGGCAGGCATGTGCGGCCGGTGACAGGACGAAGGGGATCCGTCCCTCCCAGTGGAGGCTCATGTCCAGTCCGGCCTGAGTGTGAACTGCCAGGTGTGAAGCCGCACGCACAGGGCCTGGGTGTGGGTCGGGGCAGGTCGCGCGCCACTCAGAGACCCTCCCAGGCGACCGTCACCGCGGGCTTCCAAGGTTAACAGGATTCTGGGGGCGCGCGTGCGTGTGAGATTTCAGGTGACTTTCACTTGGTTCTTGGAAACCTTTGTAATTTCCTGGACTTTGAATTTCTAACAGTATGTGGCATTGCCACGCTAACATAAAAACAAAATGACAAAACTATTCTCATTTTGAGGAAAAACAGAGGGAAGAAAAGGGAAGGAAACCGGTACATGGAGCACCCAAGAAGCTGGGTGCGCTCTTTGCCTGCCCAGAGCCGGCTGAGGAACGGCAGGTTTCCAAGAAGTCAGGCACCTTTCCTGTCGTCACTAAACCCCCAGATGCCAAACTGGGGACAAGATGCTGGAGACCAGGCAAGGGCAGCGGCAGCACCGGAGAGCGAGGCCAGCAGCCCGTCGCTCGGCAGGCAATTCGGGACCAGGAAGGAGGCGCTGGGAGCCTTGCAGCCCAAAAGTGCTAGACCTTCCCCAGAGTCCGCCTGCTGGAAGACTGACAACAGCAGGGAGGGCAACCCGACTGGGACGGGGGCGCCGAGGAGTGAGGCCTCAGTCCCCTCGATGGTGCCCGTTCGCCAGGAGGCCCGCGCCGGGGGCCTCGGGGCTCCTGGAAAGAGGTGCCGCCACAAGGCCGCGGCCCGGCCATCTGCGTGCCCGCCGCGGCCCAGGCAAGCAGCCCGGGGTGCTCGGAGCACGGCCCAGGGACGGCGGGCCCTGCGCCGGCACAGGGCCGCCCCTCAGCCGGCCTTCGGCCGACCACCCAGCCCCCCCCCCGCCCCACCCGCCACCGTGCCCTGCAGGCCCCTGCTGCCCGCACACGGCCTGCTGGGGCTTCTCTCCCTCCGCCTCCCTCTGGAGCCTCCCGAGTTCAGCTCTTCCTCTGGTTATTTTCAGTCTTTCTTGGCTTTAAATAAATTCATTTAAAGCTACAAATTTGGCTCTGATTATCATCTCAGCTAGATCCTGAAAGTTTCCAACCCGCGCCGCTTTCAAGGCTGCTCCCCCCGAGCGGCCGCCCCCACGCTGGGCTCCCTGTATTTAGCCCAGCAGGGACCGCGGCGGGCGGTCCAGTTTCCAGACCACGGTGCCCGGGCATCTCTTCCGCCACCGACAGCAGTCGGACGGGATGCACGCTTTCTGAGACCGTTCTGCCCTCTGGTGGCCCGTTCCCTTTGGTTAGCCACTCTTCGTGACACTCAGGAGTCACCGTAGCTTTTGGCTGGGCCTTGAGCCGTGTGGAGCCCAACCTGCCGCGCCTGCCCAAGGCGCTCACCTGCCTGGGGTTCTGGTCCCCACATGGCTCCAGGCCAGGTCCACTGGCAGGGAGGCCTCGGGGCTCGGCCAGCCGTCAGCCGCCACCCCCGACGGCGAGCTGGTGCGGCCTGACCCTGGAGCAGGGGGAGGCGGCGCGCAGCCAGGTCACTGCACGGCCCCTCTGCTGTGCCAACCTCCAGCCCAAGGGGCCCACACTGCCGCGTCCCTCCCTCTCCCACGACAAAGCATCAGCAGAGGAAGCCTTTAAAAGGCAAGCTGAGGGCCCATGCTGTTCCAACCGCACAGCCCTCCTGGCTCTCACGCAGCCCCTGCGGCTCCCCCAGGCCTCTCCACCCCTCCGTCCTGACTCCCTGCAAGCCTGAGCTTTGACTCTTGTGCCCACAACAGGGACTTGCGCAAAAGCCCAGCCAGGTACCCCTAGCCACTGCCGCCTCGCAAGGGCTCTGATGTATTTCAGCGGCTGCCATTGAACAAACAGGAATGTCGCCCCACACACCCCAAGTCAGAGGTAAGAGAACAGCTGCAGCCCAAGGAGGCCGGAGGGGCCCCTGGAGCAGGCGCTCTTGTCTCTGCCTGGCACTCGGGCCGCTGTTCCTACCAACCCTTGGGGGCGTCCTGCGCTCGCTCCCCACCTCTGCCGCGGGCGGGCTCAAGTCCCCGGGGGAACCTGTGACCACGGCCAAGGACACACGCTCCCAGCATTCTGCTGTGGGCTGCAGGCAGAGGACAGAGGGCCAGGCACACATCTGGGTCACTTAGGTTGAAGCAAATGAGTGGTTCCCCTGTCTTCATGTCCCCTCACCTCTCCGGGAGGTGCCCGATTCTCCAAGCCAGGGGGGATGACGTCCCTTCCACTGGAGCAGCCCGAGAGGCGGCCCACAGGCCCCTGTCTCACTGCTGCCTCCCCTCCTGCAGGGGCAGGCCCCTGTGGCCACCGTCCCAGCCCCCAGCCCCGCAGCCGAGGCCCCAGCATGAAACAAGCTCCCAGGAGCATCAACGGACCCGCCCTCCGAACCTGTCGTTTCAGACAGTCGAGCCCCCAAGCACAGACGGCCCCCGGGCCAGGGCTCTGGGCAGCCCAGCGACAGCCGCTCACCCCGCCTGGGCCGGCTGGGGCGCCTGGCCATGTGCCCGGCCACATGCGCTCAGCGCGGTCGCTCCACCACGGCACCAACACCAGCTGCATGGCCGTGAGCACCAGATTCAGCTCCCACCCCCGGCCCGCCCCCTCCTCTCCCAAGTAGCTCTGGGACAGAAACCAAGTGAGCATGGCTTGAAACGTTCCTGAAAATACAGAAAAATAAATCTCTATTTCTAGCACACTGCCTGCACGCTTGCCACACAGAGCCACGGGGGCCTGGCTCGGGGCACGGGGCTTTGGATGACGGCAGTAGCTGGCGTGAAAGCCTTCCCTCTCTGCCCCCCGCTGCAGCGGGCGAGGCTCCCGTGTGGCCCTGGCACCCCCACATCTGTCCTGGATCCAACAAGTAAAGGGGCTCCCCTTTCCTCCTGCTTCACTAGCATGGCCATGGCCGGTCCCACAGGAAGACTTGGCGGAGCCTCAGAGCGAGCACTAGCCCCAGCAGCCCAGCGCCCTCAGACACCCGGCCTGGCCTCCGGGCTCAGGCCCCGAGGAAGGTGGCCCGACGGGTGGGGCCGCTAAGGGCCCGCAAACAAACAGACCTGCAGCCCAAGGGAGCAGCAGGCCCCACCCACGCAGGCAGCTGGGGGGAGGGCGTCGGGTCAGGGCGTCCACACAGCCCGCCAGTCGGGGGAGGATTTCTGGGGCTGTGTGACAACAGAGAAGCCCAAGCGAGAGGGTGTTCTGGGGAGATGAGGACAACCCTAAACAAAATAAAAGGCCCGATAATCCCTTGAGGGACTCTGTGAGTGGGTGGAACAGGGGACAAGGGCCATCCCCAACCCAGAGGGGGAAAGACTGGTGGCTGTGGCCCGAGCCCACTGACCAGGGCTAAGCCACCGGCGACCCCGACCACGGACCCATCTTCCCGGCTCACACCGGCTGCCCGCCGGCTCCGAGGCTGCGCCCGCCACTGAGGCTCCGAGCGGCCCTCCCGGGGCTGCTGCCACGGCAGCAGGGGCCACGCCCCAAGAGCAGAAGTGCGACGGGGCTGGCACCCCGAGGACCTGCTGCATGGGCCCAGCCCACAGCGACGCGGCCGCTCCTGGTGCGAGGCAGACATGGCCGTCACCCGCGGAGAAGAGGGGACCTGCAAAGCCCAGGGCTTGTCTACGCCACGGAGCAAGAGGCACGCTGGCACGGCCTGGCCCTGGGCAGAAACCCACCGGAGCCGTGCACGCCCACCGGCACTCGGGCTGCACCCTTGGGAGAAGCCGACCCGCCTTCACCGAGCCCTCCAGGTGCCACCCAAGGCCCAGGCCGCCTCTCCTGGTCCAACTCAGCTCCTGCTGCCTCAGCTCTGCTGACTCCCAGGTTGTGGGCCCAGGAGGTGGGACGGGGGCCCCAGCTCTGTGGCCCGGGCGCTGGGAGCAGGGAATGGACCCACAGAGGGCGAGGTGCACAGAGGTGAGCGCGCTTCCCCGCTCCTCGGCTCCGTGAGCTTGGCCACCCAGCAGAGCCACTTCCCGCCGTCCATCCCTCAGCTGGTCCCCACGCTCCCACGTCTAACAGAAGGCACACCACCATGTGGCGCCCCCTCTCAGGAAGAGGACAGACTCGGGGGTCTCAGGCCGCCAGGCGGGCCAGCTGCACACAGAGGCCTTGCAGGGAGAGCAAAGGTCTTGGGCCCGCGTGCTGTGTGCCTGCTGGCGGCTGTGGCCACACTGTCTTTTCTTTGTCCGGGGAGCAGGAGAGCCAGGGGCAGGCGCATGGCTTCCAAATGCCTTCCTGGTCACAGGATCCAAAACTGGGCTCCAGGGCCACGTCCCCCACTCGCCGTGGAGATAACTAACCGCGGCCCGCACAGGAGCAGCAGCCGCTCTAGCCCCGCAGCCACAGTCACACCCCGATGTGCCAGCTGCTGGGGACAGGCCCTCTAGCCCTGCGTACTGACGAGCCTCTGACAGGGGGCGCAAGGCACTGAGGATGCAGAAGAAAGGGCCCAACCCCCGCGCCCCGGCTCTGACGGACATCTCACACATGGCTGTCAGTCCCAGACATACGAGGCCCCCCAGAGCGCCTCCCCCGCCCTCCCACCTGCCTCCTGTGCACCAGCGGGGAGGGCAGACCCAAAAGCCCCCCTGGGGCGCGGTGACCCAGACAGCAGGCCTTCAGCTGCAGCTCCCTGGGGGCAGGGGGACGGGTGCGCAGTGAAAGGCCACTCCAGGGCAGCCGCTGGCAGAACGGCAGCCACCTGCCCTAAAGCTCGGACGTCCCACGCATGCCTGCAGGAGCCTGTCCCTCCTGCTCATGTCGCTGGGCCTCTAAGGGTGGCAGCATCTACAGAGCCCGGGGAGGCCTGGAGGCAGGTCAGCGCGCGGGTCCTGGGGCTCTGCTCAGGCAGGTCCCAGGGATGCCTGGGTCACAGGGAACGGACGGCACTCAGTGCAGGGGAAGCCTGACGGCCACGTCCAGGTGCCTCCCGCCCCACTCCTGCCCGACTGAAGTCCGCAGTCCCTTCTCAGCTGCGGGGCCCGCCCCGGCGCTCAGACAAAGGTCCTGGGTCTGGCAGCGGGGACAAACCTGTCTCCGCACCTCACGCCACGGCCCAGGCAGGGAGGGGCTGCAGGAACGGCCCCCGCGGGCTCCGAAGACAGGGCCACTGGGGAGCCCACCCCGCCTGGCGCTGACCGCCCCGCCCAGGCCTCACAGGCCACCGCCCTCACCTGGTGTCCGTGCAGCGTGTAGAGCAGCCGGCCCTCCATCAGGTCCAGGATCTTCAGGGTTGAGTCGCTGGAGGCCGTGGCCAGGTAGTTCCCCGAGGGGTGGAAGGAGAGGGCGTTCACCGCCGCGCTGTGCACTGGGGAAGGGGCAGCAGTCAGGTGCCGGCTGGGAGGCCGGGGCCCTGCTGAGGCTTGAGGAGGCGCTGTCAGGGCCGACCGGGGCCCAGCCGGGCGGCCATCGCTCAGAGGGGCTGCGGGAGCCCCTCAGGGATTTGCCTGGGACGGCAGTGCGATCCAGGGCCAAAGGAGACCCCTCCGGGCAGCGGCAGGGGGCAGGCTGCGGCAGGCGCGGGCAGTGGAGGCGCGGGGCCAGCCAGAGGGGCAGAGGACCCCCACCCTCCGCCCCGTGCCACCACGGGCAGCGGAGCAGAGCGTCCTGACGTGACGCTGCCTCCCACACGGCTGCTGCAGGGAAGCACGCGGAAAGCAGACCCAGGAGTGCTCCCCAATGCCGGCGCCCCACTGGGGAGGCCGTGGGGGCAGTGAGTGGCCAGTTCCCGGCCCGGCCCCCAGGGGCCTCCCCGTGGCCTCGAGCCAGCACCAACACCGTCTTCCATCACGGCGCCCACGCGTTAGGGGTGCCGTGGGGGTGCTGTGGGGGTGCTACCGGGTCGAGCCTGGGAGGGCTCTGCAGAGCGGGCTCCCCGACGTCCCTCTCCGCTGCCCCCGGCGTCCCCTGCGGCTGCCGGTGCTGCCATTTCACCCACTCAGCAGCTCCACCGCGTCCACGACTCGCTTCCCCCGGCCCCACCCCCGCCATCCACCCTGGTGTCCCTCGCTCTCCAAGGTCCAGCCACCCAGCCCTGTCGGCTCCCTGGCTGTGGGACCTTCACCTCTTGTTCCCCGCGGGCCAGTGAGACTTGCCCACCCTCCCCAACCTTGAAGTCCCCCGCTCAGTCCCTCCTCAGGGAAGCCTCCCCGAGCCCCTGAACAGGCCACCCCTGGCTTGTCTCCGGTCAGCGCCCTCTTCACAGCGGTCACTGGATTCAAGACTGGGCGCCCGAGACCACGTGCCCCGTCAGGCAGGAGCCGGGTTGGGTCCTTGGCTCCCCACTCAGTGCCGACGCGGAGTGGGGCTCCGAAAGCGGTGGGTGAGCTGGGCCCAGGCAGACCACGCGGGGACCGTGGCGTGTGGACCGGCGACATGACAGCGTCTTAGGAAGACCCAGTGCCTTTGCGCCCACTGCCCTGGGCCTGGTGGGGGAAACCAGCACAGCCCTCCAAGTCAGAACAGTCCCACAGCACAGTCAGCCAGGCCACCCGTAGGGACCCTGCTGGGCCAGGGAACACACCCGCCACAACGGGCTTTCGGCAGCAGCCCGGGGTGCAGGGACCTCAGACACCAGCCCCACTGTGCGCCGATGTGCCTGGGGGCATGAGAAAAGGTGCCCCAGCGCAGGAGGCGGGGCAGCGGGGGCTGGACACTCCCGCCGGGTCTCTAACTTGAGGCTGTGGGGGCGGCCCGCGCCCTCAGTGTTTAGCCAAGCTGGGGCAGGGAGAGCAGAGGAATAAAGCCACAGCAACCCGGGCAGGGATTGAACAAGCACCGGCCACAGGCAGTACTGGAAGAGCATCAATGACACGCAGAGTGTGACTATCACCAGCCCCGGGAGGAGGGGGGCGCGCGCGCGCGCGCGCACACACACACACACACACACACACACGTGCGTCCAGCCCCCCTCAACTGCCGCTCCCAGAACACGCCCAGAACACGCCCGTGCCCTGGGCAGGGGCAGGTCTCGGCTCTGCAGCCCTTGGCAGCCTGAACCAGGAAGAACGCCACCCCCACCCCACCTGACACTACACTGGCAAAGGAGCAGCAGGGGCAGGAGACTGGATCGGGGGGCCCGGGGCCCCCGACAGCACCAGGGCGGCGGGGTCAGGCTGGGGACACCACGTCAGGGCCTCCCACCCGGTCAAGCCCACCCAGGGAAGGAGCGTCTCCCAGAGGAAGCATATGGCAAGCCCTGCTCCACAGGGAACAGCAGGAAACCCAAAGGCCTCCTGGAGGGGCAGGGGTGGGGGGCAGGGAGACACAGGGAACCGTCTGCCCCAGAAGAGAGCTCAGCCTGGCACGCCAGGCTTGGGGATGATGCCCCAGGCATGAGCACCAACCAGCCTTCCCCACTTATTCTTTGCCATGCCCACCAGCCCCGCCAGCCTGGGGCCGCCCCTCCGGCTCTGGAGAGGCGGTGGGGCCCGCCGGGGAGGCCTCACGTGAGAACCGTCCCTGCACCGCGGTCCCCCCAGAGTCTCAACTGCCTCCCAGGGGGTGCATCTCCCGTCATGAAGCCCGAACGGTGACTGTCCGTGAATGATCCATCTCTTATCAAGCCCAGAGCTGCAGGCCCTCTTCTGGGCTCCGAGGCAGGCATCCGTGGTCACGACGGGCAGACTGCCATGCGGGGACAGCTGTGGGTTCCTGGCTGTTATCCCCCCACCTTCACCGCATCCCAAAGAAGGGACTCCCAACTCCGGGTCAGAGGCGCACCAATGCCGGGACCCCATGGGCCACCAGGGCCCACCCCTTTGTGATGCGGAAGCAGCCTGCCCTGCTGGCCGCCCAGGCCGGTCGCTGGGTGGCGGGCCTGCACGTGCCCGGGAACCACAGGCACACGGCCTTGGTTCTGGGACGGGGACTGCTGGCTGCTCAGCTGTCTGAACAGCCTTTGTGTGGGCTCCAAGCACATGGCGCCTCCCCACCCCGCAGGGACGGACACCCCAGGGCACCGCCACCCCCGCCGCCCTGCCCAACTGGGAGATCAGAGTCACTCCCCACAGAAACGGCCCCAGCCAAGCCGCCCTGCCTAAGACTAACGGTGCCAGCTGCAGGCGGGCCAGGAAGTGCCCCACGGCGCACGGCCACAGCATGGCCACGGGCTGGCCGCGCACCACAGCACCATAAGCCAAGTTCTAAGGGGCCAACAGCCTCATGCGCCCAAAACCCACTCAGGGCTGCCTCATGCCCACCCAGGGTCACCGGGGGAAGTGCTGGCTGTTACTGTGTCCTCATACACTCTCCCCTGGGTTTCCTGGGGGTCAGGGACGGAAACCCACTCAGGTGCCCGTTGCCAGAGGGAGCCCTTCATGGAAAATCAGCCTCCAAGCAGACCCCCGCCCCAGGGAGGGAGAGCATCTCTGGGAGGAGTTCTCCCACAGAGCCCTCTGGGGGCTGCTCCTGCCAGGCCCCTCTGGCAGCAAAGAGGGCGCATCGCTCCAACCACAGGCCCTCCAGGAGCCCCAGAGGGGAGCCTCAAGGGTGGGACACATTTGCTGCCCTGCGAACCACGTACCGGCTTGGGGCAGGGCGCTCAGAGGGAACTTGGCTGTTTACGGGGTATGCCGAGACCCCCAAGCCCCTGCTCTGTGTTGGGGTGGCTTGGGGACAAGGTGCTGCCGGCTCGCCGCGTGGTTCTCTCACAAGAGGAAAGAGCAGAAGCAAAAGAAGGGCCTGAGTCCGCTCAGGGCCCGGCCCTGACGCCATCGGAACCCTGGCCCTGCCAGCCGCTAACCTCCCACCCGCCCACGGCCCAGCCTGCTCCCCCGGGAGCCCCAGGGACCTCTCTGCAGCAGCCACCTCTCCCCTCGAGTGCTCACGTCGCCCTCTCCTGCCTACCCTTGCATGGGACCCCACGACCCCCCCCCACTCTGCCCTCCTAGGCCCTCCCAGGCTGGGGGAGGGGCCCGCACCCTCCCTCCAGTTGCTCTGTGGACCCACCTCCTCCACGGCCGCCCTGCAGTCGCCGGGCCCCAGGACGCGGCCTCGGACCTGTTCAGGCCCCGGGTCCCTGGGCCTAGCTGGCCCCTCAGCCCCCGCGAAGACGCCAGGTACCCAGGCTGCTCCCAGCACGGCCGCCCTCATAGGCCCCTCAGCCCTCTGCTGCTCGAGTGACGGGCCAGTGCCGGCACGGCCAGCCAGCCTGCATCTCTGGAACCTAGGCCAGAGCATGGCATTCAGGGCCCCCTCCAACAGGCACCTGCCGCTGCACCGCGCCGGCACCAGGCCAGGTTCCCAGAGCCCCAGAGGGGCTCCTGGCCCCTGTAGCCGCAGCCCCCGGCGCTACATGACGGTCCTCAGAAACCCCATAACGAAGGCGCTAGTACCTCCCCCTTCACAGACAGGGGTCAGCCCACGCTCCTAACCCCTGCAACCACCCTGCCTCTCTTGTCCAAGCCCTTCCTCCTGACCCATCTGCGCTCCTCCTTGCCCCTGGCCTTCCCCAGTCTCCAGTTCAGTCCTGCAGCAGAAAAAAGGCCTCTAAGCCTGGTGGGGAGAGAGAAGCGTGGTCTCTGACCAGAGGGCAGACAGCACAGCAGCTCTGTTCTAGAAGCCTCTGGAAGAGACCTGCCAGGGACCATCCCCAGGCCTCGCTGGGGGAAAGACCTGGTTCCCGCGGCTGGCCTCTGCCACCTGGTGGGGGTGTCGGGTACTGCAGGCTGGCCTCGCGGGGACACCAGGCCTCCTGACTCCAGGCTGAGGCTCGGCGTCACTGTCAGCGTCACTCATGCTGCACCTGGCTCCCGTTTTGTGCCAGGCACCCTCTGAGTTCCTCACACGGACCGACTCACTGTCTGCCCCACACCACCTGCGAGACAGCGCCGGCACTGTCCCAGGAAGCTCCAAGGGGCCGAGGGACCCACCTGATGCCACGTGGCTGGGAACGGCCCGGAAGGCTGAGGCTGCTGCAGGGCCCGCCCCCGCTGTGTGCTTTCCAAAACCATCCGCTCGCCCTCCTTGGGAGGCCTGCCGCTTTGGTTACCCCAAGAAAGTGCTGTCCTCGAGCACCTAAGAGCTGGCCGGGAGGGTCTGGTGGGCGTTGCGGGGAGAGCTCTGACCCGCAGGCCCCACTCCGTCGTTCCGACGCGTCCTTCCCGTTTTCAGGTGTGAATTTGGGAAGCGGCCCGGGAGCTTCACACTCAGTCCCGAGTCCATGGCCACAGTTCTCCTAGCAGCCAGCCCGGTGCCCTGCCTCGGCCAGGAGCCCACCTCCCGGGTCCTCCTGTGGCCCTGGCCCACGGCGGCGCTCGTGCGCTGCCCAGTCACACCTGCTCTCAGGCCAGCGCCCTCGGCCCTCTCATCCCCATCACACCGCGTCGGCCCCACCTCGGCCGCCCTGCCTTCCAAGGGCTACAGTTCAACAGGGCACAGCCCCAGGGTCCGGGCCTGCGCCAGGCCGACCCTCCACACGGCCCGTGGTTCCTCATCTGTGGAGGACGCTGTGGGGACCCAGGCAGCCAACGTCCCCCCACTCTGACCTTTTGACAGGCCTGTCTGTCCCCTTCATGGGTCATGGGTTGTCACCTCGGGCCTGGAGGACAGAGTCTCCATCACAGGGAGAGGCAAATGACGCCGACAGCCCCAGAGAGGTGCCTCTTGAGAGGACCCCTGGCCTAGACCCTTCGAGGGCTCCGCAGCTGGCCCTGCAGCGGCTCGCAAGCGCAGGCGGGGCACAAAGGGCTCGGCGGGCGCCAGGCAGCCCCCCGCTCCGCTGCTGGCCAAGGCTCCATCCAAGCAGGACAGCGCCGCCCAGGCTACAGCCCCGAGGGCCGCCACGCCTGGGGGCACCCCACCCCGCCCACCACAGCTGCCCTCAGGCCCCGTAAGCCCCCGAGGAGCCAGCGCAGCACAGCTGTTCTCCGACACTCACGCTGGTAGTGCTGCAGCAGCCGGTGCGTCCGCACGTCCCACAGCTTCACCGTGTTGTCCATGCCGGCAGCAGCGATGCACGTGCCGCTGGGGTGGAAGTCCACATAGGTGACAAAGCTGGAGAGACAGGCCACCGCGTGGGACAGGAGCTCTGCACCAGCTCGGAAGAGACGCCAAACACCCAGCACCGTCCCATCCCTGTGCCTGGTCACGCCGTTCCCGAACGCTCTCTCCCTCCCTGTCTCTGCAGCACGTGGTTCAAGGAGAGCAAGGAGGAGCAGGTGACAGCAGCGGCTGCAGTGACCTGAGCTGGACTCACCAGAAGGCATCACCTTCTACATACAAGTAGGGAAAGCGGCCTTCAGACCAAACGAGGGGCCAGCAGGGCCCCGGGGTCCTCGGCGTCCCCATGCAGGACACCCAGGCCGGTGCCACAGCCAGCTCTCAGGAGGGGCCCTGACGGAGGGGGCAGAAGCCAGGGTGCATTTAGGAACCCAGAACAGGTGAGTCCCTGCTCAGATACAGGCCTCTGTCTCTCCCGATGACAAGACAGTGCAAATGGCCACCACCTACTACAAGGCTGAGAGGACCTTTTCACTTATGAAGTCACCCACAGAGGACACACCGATGTGCTTTTCGGGGGCCTGAGTTCAACTGCTTTCAGACAGACATGTCACAATTCTGAAAACCAGAAAGTGAAGGGGAAAGAGACGCCCCAAGGATGACGTGCCTTGAGGTTAGGCGCTCCCCTCACAGCTGCGGGCAGGCGCGGGGCTGAAGCTTCCCGCCTCCCAGGTGAGATGGGGAGCCGGGGCCGCCGCCCCCGCAGGCGGAGGGCGGCCGGGGACTCACCCGCCGTGCTCGCAGTAGGAGTGGACACACTCGCGGCTGGTCTTGTCCCACAGCTTGACAGTCTTGTCATCACTGGCGGACACGATGAGCCTCCCGTCAGGGGAGAACCTGAACCAGGGAGGGAAGGGGTCACGCCACGGACTGGCAGGTGTCACGGACGCCCACCCACCACCTCCCACGGCACCTCCCTGCAGTGCCCACTGCCGGGGCCCAGGCGGGCCGCGTGTCCCGCTCTGACCCAGGGGACCCTGGGAGGCGGGGCAGGCGCAGGAGGCCCCCGCCGCTGCACATGGCGCGTGGCGCAGTTCGTGCCGACTGCCGGCGCTGCCCGGCATTAAGGTCAGAACGGGGCAGCAGCACAGAGCTGCCACCAAGGTGGAAGTCCAGGGCCCCAACGCCAAAGGCCAGTGCGGGCTGGACACCCGTCTCCTGGCCGGGCCGCTCCCATCCTCAGAAGCCTGGCGGTGAGGCCTCTCGGAGCAATCGGGGCCCTCCCAGGACAAAGGAACTGGTGCCCCAGAGAACAAGTAACTTGCACGGAGTCCCCAGAACACAGCCACAGTCCCAGAGCTCTCATTCCCACGGCGCCCAGTGTCCCCAGACTCCCTCAACCTCCCCCACTGCAGCCGAGGCCCTGCAGGTGAGGTCCCTGCCAAAAGGACAGAGACGGGGAAGCAGGCGCACCTGGGTCTGCAACTCTCGGACCTCGAGGCCCTTTGCGCCCGCCCATCCCCGGGCACTGCCCCCACACCCCACACCAAAGGGAGGGCGGGCCTCCGGGCTGACCCATCGGCAGCCTGCGCCCCCGCCGGGCAGCTGCGGAGCGAAAGCGGCCTGGGGCAGAACGCCCGAGGACGGCAGGCCCGCCTCAGCGCCAGGGACCCGGGGCCAGCCCCGGCTCTGCCACTTGCCCACCATGTGCCCAGGGGCCAGATACTGCCCTGTTCTGAGCCCCCGCCTGCTCACCCACACAGTGGGAGCGACCCCCCAGCCCCCAGCCTGGAGGGCTGCCAGCAGGGTGGAAGGAAGCGAGAGAGGCAGCGCTAACGCCACCTGAGCACTGCGGCCACTGCTGCTCAGTGGCCCTGATGTGTCGCCTGGGGCTGCGTCAGCCCAGACATGGGTCACCGTGGCCGGCCACAGGGTCACTGACTTGTCCCACACCAGCTCAGTGCAGCTTCTTTCCTGCCCTCAGCGGAGGAGCAGTGGCTGTCCCCATGGGCCAGGTGGGGGTGCAGCTCTGGAGGAACAGCTGTCAGGCCCCAGGCGGCAATGCCAGCACCTGGCAGCCCCCAGGCCGCCCACACCAGGCCCCTCTGAGGGCCTGGGGCAGGGCGCTCACCTGGCACAGCGGACCCAGTTGATGTGCTGGCTCAGGGAGAACAGGAATTTCTGGCGATGAGTCGACCACACCTTGACTGTCTTGTCATCGGAGGCCGTCACGAGGGACTGGCCATCGCTGCAGAAATGGACACTCCTCACAGTGGCCGTGTGCGCACGAAACACGGTCGACTCGCCTTTGCTGCGGGGACAGACCCCCCCAGTCAGCGACCTGAGAACCACAAGCACAGCGACGCTCTCCCGTCCCTGGGAGCCCCCCAGCCTGCCCAGGCCCGAGCGTCCTGGGCCTCCCCCAGGAGCAGAGCCCAGGCCACCGCGTGCAGACAGCAGCAGGCAGGCCCCTCACGGTGGCTGGGGTCAGCCCCGAGTTACCCTCCCGCGCCCGACGGGAGGGCCCCAGCTGCAGCCTCAGCCTCTGACGGCATCTCCTCGGGAGGGGGGAGACGTCCCTGTGACCAGTCCAGAGCCAGGGCCTCCGACTCCAGCAAGCCCCTCGGCTCTGTCACTCACACATTGGGTACCCAGATGCGGACGGTCTTGTCCCGAGAACCTGAGGCAAGCAGGTGTCCCGAAGGGGAGAAGTTCACGGAGGTGATGGCGTCCTTGTGGCCCGCGAAGCGGTAGGCCCGCGACTGGGGCTTCATGTGCCAGACCATGAGGCACGAGTCCATGGAGCCGCTGGCTGAGGAGAGCGGGAACACTGAGACCCTGGCCCCAGCAGGCCTCGGGTCTCCACCAGGACTTCGGGGAGGGGCAGCAGCTCCCCTTTCCCCACCCGCACGGGAACAGGCCACACCACCCGCGAATGCTGACCAGGAGCTTGCAGCAGGCCCACATAGGACCCAGACCAAGAGGCGCCCTGAAGGGCCAGCTCTCGGCTGCAACCCAGGGGGCCCCCAGCTCTCCCAGACACACCCTGAGGGCACTGGAGAGCAGGGCTCCCAACCCTGGCGAGCAAGCCCAGCCCCGCAGGCCTTTTACTGTTCAGAAGCCCAGAGGAGGCCCCCACCATGGACCAAAAATGATTTTAGTTTCCTGTTAATCTTAAGTGACCACAAGGTCAGCAGCCTCTGGCAGGGGACCTCGACCGTAAGGTGAACGGGGGAACCTTGCCCACAGAAACAAGGAATCACAGCCATGACAGCTGTGCATGAACCCCCGAGCAGCCAAGTTAGGGGCGCAAGGGGGCACAACAGCAGCACAGGGACAGTGGTGGAGGGGGGCGCCGGGCCCTGCTCCACACCCTTCTCTCTGGTAGGCGTCTCCAACTAGTAGTAGTGCCCATACCACTGTGGACAACGGAATCAATGGAGACCCAAGGCAAAAGACCCAGAGCCCCGTCCCACCCTCAGAGGCAGCACTGGCTTTGGAAGCCCCCAGACTCCTGGAGCCTCACACCCTGCCCGCATGCAGAAGGGAGCTCAGGACGCCAGAAGCAAGAGGCAGGTCCAGACAGAGCACGTGGGTCCTCACAGTGCCCCGTGCCACCCCCATGCCACCCTCCCAGGCGGAAACTTGGCCTTCTCGGCTCATGAACTAGTGCCTAGGACAAGATGCCCCTCTTACCCAGCTGCTTCGTGTTGAGATTGAAGTCCACACAGGTAACTCCATCTCGGTGGCCCTTAAAATGCCTCTCCAGTGAGGGGTCCTCCTGGGGAGACCAGGGTCAAGCATGTGAAAGCTGGAAGAGGAAGAGGCTTTCCAGGGCCAAGAGCCTTCCTGCGACAGCCAGGAGGGTTTAAAGGCGCTCAGGGTACGACCCCACTGAAAGCCTGTTAGACCTAATAAACAAGCTCAGCAAGGTTGTAGGGTACAAAACCAACATGCAAAAATCGGTTCTTTTAATATTTCTGTAACCATCAATGAACAACCTGAAAAAAGTCAGGTAACAATTCCATTTATGATGTTTTAAAAAACATAAAATAGGGTGTCGGTCCACAAACCAAAGGGTTGCGCACCTGCTCCCCGGTAGGCGGCGCTCAAGAGGCAACCACATATTGATGTTTTCTCTCCTCTTTCTCTCTTCCCCCTCTCTAAAAATAAGTGAATAAAGCCTCAATAAATAAATAAATGTAAAATAGGGATACATTAACAAAAGAAGTACAAGACATACCTAGAAAAAACTAGAAAACATCATTGAAAGAAATTTAGAAAGAACTAGTTAAATGGAGAGATAGTCCATGTTCATAGTTTGGAAAACCTGGTATTTTTAAGGTGCAGTACTCCCCAAATTGTTCTACATATCACCCTAATCCCTAAAAAAATCCCAGGTGCCTTTTTTTTTTTTTTTTTTTTTTGCAGAAATTGACAAGATGATCCTAAAACTCATATGAAAATGTGAAAAAGCCAGAATAAACAAAATCTATTTTTAAAAAATCTTTAAAAAAAGAAAAGGAAAAATCAGCCCCTCTAGAAAACAGGTTGGCAGGTCCTCAAAAACTTAAGAGTGTTTTTTTTATCAAATGACCCAGCAATTCAGAGTAGATACCTGGAAGAACTGAAAACGCATTCAAACAAAAACCTGTACACAGTGTTCACAGCAATAACAGTCTAAGACAAAAAGTGGACAAGCCTAATGCCCTCATTTGAAGAATGGAGAGACACAATGTGGTTCATCCATACAATGTGGTCTTTTTCAGTCCTGAAGGACATGAAACTCTGACATATGCTGCAACATTGATGAACCTTGAAAACACATTCCTAGTGAAAGAAGCCAACACAAAAGGCCACGTTTTTGTCTGATTCCATTTATACAAAACGTCCCAAATAGGCAAATCTATAGACCGAAAATAGATTAGTGTTTGCCAGGAGCTGGGGGAGAGAGAGAAAGAGGAAGGGAGTGGCCGCTGAACAGGTACGGGAGTTTCCCTGGGGTGACGAATACGTTCTGGAGTTAGATAGTGATGACGGATGCGTAACACCCTTAAGTTGAATTTTACACTTTAAACTGGTAAATTTTATGGTATGTGAATAATGTCTCAATAAAGTTCTTTTTTAACTGAAGGAGAGGAAATGGGGGTGTTCAGCACCCCGCATCTCAGGAACCACATCCTACACACTGAACCCCACTGTGCAGCGGCCGCTGAACCCAGAGGTCCGCCCCGCACAGGCCCCTGGTGACATCACCACCATCTCCACTCCACCAGGCGTCTGAGACGCCCCAGGTCAGGACCCTGCTCAGGGAGACATGGAGCTAATACTCCTGAGACTCTCTCCATCCAACAGCAGCTCCCGTCTTAGCACTTGAGGAGTTCGATCCCAGCATGCTAACGTCTGCCCCTGCCCCAAATAGCAGACGCCTCAAAGCAGCATCTTGGGTGCAGCAGGGTGCCCAGCAAGGCCACTGCCATCCTACAGAGCTGTAGCCAAAACAAAGGTCCCCATGGCCCGGTGCCCAGCCCCACCCCCAACACACCTGCCTGAGTCTCCCTAGCAGCCGAAAGAGTGGCAGCTGGGGGAGGGCCCCCAACAGCGCAGCAACGGCCTCACCTGAGTCTCTTGGGAGAACAAAAGTTAGATAGTGCTCACCTCTAGATCCAGTGGGTAGAGGCAAGTTTAGGTCCACCCCTAAAGTCTCCCAGCACCCTCTGCCCCAATCCATGGGCTCTGTGGTTCATCTCCCCCAAAGGAGAATCATATACTGGGGGTGGGGGAGTATCTTGTAGGAAGAACATTTGATTATGGGTCAAAATGCCTTGGTCCTAGTTTGGGCCCTCGGCTCAATTCTTCAGATGCCTAAGGGGACCAAAAGGTCACCACCTAGCCTCCCGGACTATCAACCCAGGCTTCTGGCCAGGCAAGTTCGATACAACCGCTCAAAACGAGGGCTGTGGAATGCTCCCCGGGGCGCCCACTATGTGCCCTGACCCAGCGCCCCTTGCACAGACGGCAAACTGAGGCCGGGAGGACGGGCTCGGAACCCGGAGTCCCACACGCCCCTCGCCACCCGCAGCCACGTGTCCATTGTCCTGGAGGGAGACTAAGGCAGCACTTACCGGACAGGGCGCGGCCATAGTGCGGCCCGGGGCGCCCCAGGCGCCAGAGTAGCCCGAGGAGACAGCGGCTGCTGCCGTTGCGGCGCGTTCAGTTTCCGCGCCCCCAACCGCCGCCAATAGCAACGCCGGTCCTGTCCCCGCGCCCCGCCCACCTCGATTAAAGGAGACGCAGCTCCTTGGCTATTTGCTCTGCAACCGGAAACAGAGCTGTAGGCTCGGCTCCGTGGTCTCCGCTTCCACCTTTGGTGGGCCCGGCAGCCTACGGATTGGGCCGCCAAAGACCTCTGTCCACCGTCAATCATCCTTCCTGAGAATCTAAAAAGCACTGGATGAGAGATTCGCCCTACCGGTTCGCCCCACCCGCCCATATCCTGGTTACAGAGACGGCGAGCACAGCATTCTGGGAAATGCAGTTCCAAAAAGGACACCACCTTGTGTTTGGGTGGAGCTGGAACTACACTTCCCAAGATGCCTTGAGGCAGTACTTGAGAGCCCGGAATTAACCACCCCTACAAAAGCGTTAAGAATCCCGGAAGTGAGACATATATTTTTCCTTTAAAAGAGCTCAGTAGGCGTAGTGTTCGCTCAGTACCTTATTAAGAGCTGATTGTTCGCCCCTCCAAACGCGCTTAAAACAGTGCCAATTTGTTAAAACACCAGTCACCCTGAGGGGTGTGGCACAGCTGGTTGGGCTTCGTCCCCCGCAAAGCGAGGGGTCTCTGGTTCCATTCCCGGTCAGGGCACATGCCTGGGTTGCGGGGTTGTTCCGGGTCGGAGTGCGAACGAGAGGCAACCGATGGATGTTTCCCTCTCTTTCTCCCAATCTTCCCTCTCTCTAAAAATAAAATAAAAATCCTTTAAAAAACTAAAAAACCACTAGTCCCGTGGAACCACAGGCGTGAAACGGAGAGACCTAGGTACCGTTCTCAGTTCTCCTTCGTGTGTGACTTCGGAGAAAAAGCCCTCCTCTATGGGTCTCGGTTTCCCCATTTGGAATATGAGGGAGTGTGCTGCAGTCTGACCCTCTCAAGACTCTTCAGCCCTGCCAAGCCCTTGTAAATTAGTAACACGCTTGAAAGGGAGGAAGACAATCCAGGGGCCTGGCCACCAGAGGTCGTTGCTGCCCACTTTCTGCAGTGGGAAGGCCCAGGCTCTCCAGACCTTTCTACTGGCGTCTTCCCAACCTGGAACTGACCTGCGCAGGATGTTTTGCAAGATTCGGCAAACTTCTGTAGACGAAAGAATGTCCAGCTTATAGAAAAGGTTTTTTGAGTTTATTTGAGCCAAAATTTTGAGGACATGCCTGGCAGCAGAATCTCAAGGGATTGAGAAAATGCTTAGAGAATGGCAGTATTTGCAGCTTATTGGATGCATTAGAATCAGAGAAGAGAGGAGGGTTAGGTGAAATCCGCTGGTTCCAGAAGCGAGAGAAAGCAAAGTGGGGAAATCTCTAGGACTGGAGACAAAGCAAGATGGAGAAACACTTCTTTTACATTGTTGGGTGCAGGATCGTTCCTTTACTTTCACAGTAAATAGAGATGATGTGCAGGCAACAAGCTAACAGAGAGGGTGGTCCTGTGCTCTGGTACCTGCACTTGTGCCTTCCAGGAGTCTAGGAAATAATGACTTGACATTTCAAAGGGACGCTACCTGGATGCATAAGAGCAATGGACATGCCCTGCCTGGCGTGGCTCAGTGGATTGAGCGCTGGCCTGCGAACCAAGGGGTGGCCAATTTGGTTCCGGGTCAGGGCGCAAGTCTGGGTTGCGGGCCAGGTCCCCAGCAGGGGCGCACAATAGGCAACCACACATTGGTGTTTCTCTCCCTCTCTCTCTCCCTTCCTTCCCCTCTGTCTAAAAATAAAATAAATAAAATTTTTAACATGTAAAAAAATTTTTTTAAAAGAAAAAAGAACAATGGACAGGCCCACTTAAGGTCAGTGTCTACCTTGCGCAGGAAGCTCTAGGCCTGGGACAGGACTACCTGCCATGGCCTGTCCATCTGACAGTTTACAATCAGACCGCCCTGTGTGGTTACTTTTAGTCACTGAGCTTGTCGGGACTTCCATGGGACCCCTGATAGTTTGCTGGGTTTATGACATAGGCCGTTTGTTGTTCACGCTTCCATCATCTCCCCTGGACAGGCTGGCTTGGCCCGACCCAGCTGATTATGATCTAGCCGGGTCCTGAGGTCTTTGACTACATCTGAGACCTAAGATAAAATACAGGACCTGAAAACCAGCACCTGATTCGAGAAGCTCAGGAACGCCCATGCAGGGAGCTGGGATGTGGGCCAACGGGCCTCTCCTTTTGACATTGAGGGTCTAGCGCCAGACATGAGAGGCAGAGCTATATCCTATCCAGTCTTCACCATGGTCTGGTGTGGAATTGGTTTCGCTATGTGAGAAATGGCCAAGCTCATTTAACTTAGATACTGTGAAATGCTCCTTAAAACAAGTACAGTATCGCTCACCCCCTGGAATTGTTCAACACTATTCAAAGGGCAATTTTCAGGCCATGGAACACCGTTGGTCTGCAGGGGCTTGTAATTTACAAAACTGAACTTAGAGAAACCCTCCTGTAAGAGGTTTGCGAGCATCAGGTCTGCTCACAACGAGAGGCCCTGGAAGGCTTTACTCGCCCTGCTTAGCCTTTCCAGGTCCTGCTATCTTCTGCCCTTACTCATCGGGGAGGAGGAGCGGGGGCTGCCTCACTCTCTCTTGCTCCTTTATCCTCCAAAAAAAAACCTACAATGAGTCGACTCTGCCAACATCACAGACAACCCAGGACCCACCACTGGCAGGCAAAACCTGCGTAAGTCAAGGTCAGTGCCTCTATTTTCTGACTGAGCAGACCCCACCCCATGTCCCCTCCAACCAGTTACACCCCAGTTCTGACTAGGGCCTCCATGTGGAGGGGAGCTTACTGTCGGAGGAACCTCAGTTTTGGGGGGACCTCCACGTTGAGGGGGGCTGGAAGCCAGCTTCATTTTCAAGACCCTTTGTGGCAGGGATGTCTCTGTCCGGGTCCAAAGTTCACAGATAGGCCCCGCTATGAGAGCCCCCTTCTCTGTCGTCACCCCCAGACCACCACCCACCCAAGGGCCGAGAGGGTGGGGCAGAGAAAGGAGGAGAGGCGGGGATCGCGGGCACCCACATAGCCCCGCGGAACCTGTGCCTGGGAAACCCCGTCGGCGCTGTCAGCCTGCACAGCACCTGCCGGGGGCAGGGCGGCTTGGGCCAGTCCCAGGAGCAGGCAGGTCTAAGGTGACTCCAGGCCCAGCCCCCTCTGGGCCGGGCCACCTAGCAGGAGTCACACCACCTCTCTGTGTCCTCAGCTGTAAAGCGATTACGATAATCCTGCCACCGTGGGGGAGGGAGGATTTCAGGAGCTGCTACTTCAGGTCACAGCCTGACACTGAGCCGCCACTTAACCCACATGATTTCGTACTTGCTTTCAGTCATATCACACAGCTCTCTGCCTCTGCTTGCACCCCTTACCCCCGCCCCCTGCCCCCGGCCCACGCCCCCCGGTGCAGCCACGTTAGCCTCCCTGCAGTTCTTTGAGCAAGAATGTGCCAAACACTTGTCTCCGGGCTCCTGCACTGGCTGTTGGCCCAGTGTCCTCTCAGCTCAACCCACCATGGCCCCCCGGGCTTCATTCAGATGCCAGCCTCTCAGCGTGGCCCTCCCTGACCACCCTACCGAAAATGCCAACCGCCTTCCTCTGCCCTGCTTTCTTTTCTTTTTTACAGTGTATTACATTTTTATTTTGTTCTTTAAAGATCTTATTTGTTGCCCTGGCAGGTGTGGCTCAGTGGATTGATTGTCAGCTTGTGAACCAAAGGGTTGCCTGTTAGATTCCCAGGCAGGGCACATGCCTGGGTTGGGGGCCGGGTTCCCAGTTCGGGGGCATGTGAGAGGCAGCCAGTGGATGTATCTCTCACACGTCGATGTTTCTCCCTCTCTTTCTCCCTCCCTTCTTCTCTGCCTGAAAAGTAAATAACCATCAATGTGAGAGAGAAACATCAATCGCTGCTTCTCATACACACCCCAAATGGGGACCGAACCCACAACCCAGACATGTGCCCTGACAGGGAATGAATCCGTGTCTTTTCGGTTTGCAGGACGATTCCCTACCCACTGAGCCACACCGGCCAGGGCTTGCTGCTTTAGTTTCTACTGGCAACTCATCACCCTCTGACACATCGGACTTGTTGATTCATTGTCTCCTCCCCTGAGAATGTCAGTTCTGGGGAACAGATGTGACCATACTGTTACACCCAGCACAGGACCCAGACAGGGTAGGAGCACAATCAATATTTGCCATATAAATAAATGAATCATGAGATTGCTGATAGATTGCAGCAGAGTCTGTGATGGGCAGGGCCTGTTCTCAGCGGGAGAGAAGGGGAAGGGATTAATCAGGGGAAGCTTCTCGGTGGGAGCAGAGCGACCTGAACCTGGGAACACAGGTACGGTGTAGGTTGATCGGAGAGAAGAGGACAGACTGTTCCAATGCAAGGGGGGAGGAGGGAGGCGAAGCTGGAGCTTGGGGGAGCCCGGGTACTGGAAGAGTCTTTGGGAGCTAGCAGGGCAGACCCCCAGCAGGGAGGGGACGGGGTCTCCTGTGAGGCTGTGTACGCATGTAGGGGAGTGCTGGAGGGGGTCACGGGGCGGAGTCAACGGAGGTGACCCGTTGAGGGGGTCTGCTGGGGAGACAGTGGGCTCGTGCCGACCCGGGTTCTAATCCCAGGTGCAACACTGACTTGCTGCGTAACTGGGGGAAGAGCTTAACCCCACTGAGCCTAATTCCCTCGTGTAAAATGGAGCTTGCGTGGGGATCATGACAGAAGCGAGGTGTATCAGCCTCCTGGAGCTGCCTCAAGAAAGCGCCACACACGGGAGGCTTACAGGTACTCTCCGCAGAAGTTCCTTCACTCGCAGGCCTGGAGGCCAAAAGCCAGGCATCGAGGTGTGGGCGGGGCTGTTCCCCTCCCCGGCAGCCCCGGCGTCCTTGGCTGGTGGCTGCGTC